CACCAGCACAGATTCCACCATATAATCCTTGGATGGCAGCCTCTGGTCACCAACTTGGGGGGTCTCTCCAGGCCAGGCACTCTGGTACTGAAAGAAAAGCCAAAATTGAACCATCTTGAACTGAGAAGCTCGCCCAATTTTTCGTTTGATCAAGATACATCCCATCTTTCTTCAGAGGTTCTGATGATGTTACCTAGTTGGGTCATGAAACGTCTGCAAGAAAACAACCAGGTTTAGAGAGCACCAAAGACCCCACATTCCTCCTCATCCTCCTCCCTGCAAACTCTGCTTCCTAACTAGCACTGATGATGTTACCTAGTTGGGTCATGAAACGTCTGCAAGAAAACAACTAGATTTAGAGAGCACCAAAGACCCCACAGTCCTCCTCCTCCTCCTTCTCTTCCTCCTCTTCCTCCTCCTCCCTGCAAACTCTGCTCCCTAACTAGCTCTGATGATGTTACCTAGTTGGGTCATGAAACGTCTGCAAGAAAGCAGCCAAGTTAAGGGTATCACCAAGGAGCCCAACAGTTCACTCCTGCAAATATTCTCATGTATAAATTGCATTTCCCCTTATTTTCAACTCACAATGGTGAAAGGATAAGGACTGGATAATACATTTGGCGGTTGGCGTGGAGATGTTGGCTGGTAAAAGATGTAACTCCGTGGTGGAATGTCAGCTTGGAACGGTGGATACAAGTGAATGTCTTTAGGATCCGGTGGAGCATACGGTGGAGGTTCTTCTACGAAGCCTGGATTGATGGTTCCCATGTTCTGGAGATGATCTGATCCTGCTTGTTGGTTGGGCTGGGATGGGTCCTTCTGCTCCGTTGTGAACTTGGCAGGGGCTGCACTTCCTGGAGAAGGCTGGGCCTCTCCTTCTCTTTCGACATCCCTTGGGTGATCTGGAGATGGGCTCGGACGGGCTTCTTCTCCATCCATGTTGGTGTCCTCCACACTTGGTGGGTCGAATGGAGAGAGGTTTCCCCACGGGTCCTGCAATGAAGCAACAGCCCCCATAATGTTGATCATCAAGTAACCTTTGGCTTCCCTTTCTTAGTAAGTTGGATCATTTGCAAATATAAACAAAAGGAAGGAAGGAAGGAAGGAAGGAAGGAAGGAAGGAAGGAAGGAAGGAAGGAAGGAAAAAGGGAGGAGGGGAAGAAAGAAAAGCGAAGGAAAGAAAGAAAGAAAAGAGAAAGGGGAGGAGGGGAGGGGAGGAAAGAAAAGAGGGAAGGAAGGAAAAGGGAGGAGAGGAAGAAAAAAGAAAAGGAAGGAAGGAAAAGAGGGAAGGGAAAAAAGGAAGGAAGGAAAGGAGGGGAGGAAAGAGGAAAAGAAGGAAAAGGGAGGAGGGGAAGAAAAAAGGAAAGGAAGGAAGGAAGGAAAAGAGGGAAGGAAAAAAAGGAAGGAAGGAAGGAAAGGAGGAGGGGAGGAAAGGAAGGAAAAGGGAGGAGGGGAAGACAAAAGAGGAAAGGAAGGAAGGAAAAGAGGGAAGGAAAAAAAGGAAGGAAGGAAGGAAAGGGGAGGAGGAGAGGAAGGAAAGGAGAGGAAGGGAGGAAAGAAAAGAGAAAGGGAAGGAAGGAAAGAAAGAAAGAAAGAAAAAGAAATGTATTAATTATATTTATTCAGGGCCGTTTTTCAGACTTACCAGCGTCCCCGTAGTTCATATGATCAGAATTTGGACCCTGGGCAACTGGTTCACATTTATGACGGTCGCAGCGTCCCGGGGTGTGTGTGTGTGTGTGTGTGTGTGTGACGGGATCCCCTTTTTGCGACCGTCTCACAAGCAAAATCAAAACAGGGAAGCCGGTTTCACTTAACAGCCGGGCTGCTCACCTGCGGGGACTCACTTAACAACTGTCCCAAGAAAACGGGGCAAAATTCACTTGGCCGACGTCTCGCTCAGTGACGGAAATTGTGGGCTCCCCGTTGGGGTCGTAAGTCGAACGGCGGCCCTTTGATTTGAACTGCACCTTGCTTCCGTTGCAGGTAGACTGCCTTGAGCCCTGGAGGTTCTGCCACCAAGGCCCCTTTAGCATTTTGCACAGTTTGGTCTTCAGGAAAAAAAGGAGAACGACACCCACACCCATCGCCCATCCTCGGCCAGAGCTTCTACAGTATTTATAGAAAAAAAATTGAGGCGGTTACCTGTCTTCTCCGCAGCCCCCTTCCTCCTTCAAAGATCTGGGCACCTCAGCCAGGTGGGGGCCCTGTCCTCCCTCTGCCTGCCCCATGCCATCTTCCTCACCCCGGCTTGGAAAATAATGGCGCCCCTGGGCCCACCTTTGACTCATCCGAGTCGCCAAGGTTCGTTTTCCAGGGACTTATTAATCATTGACGGGGTTATTTGCAGAGGGACGTCGGTGTGTACCAAAAGCCAAGGATGTCGAAGGCCGCTCTGTGTGTGTGTGTTTGTGTGTATTTGTGGTGTGTGCAGTGAGAAGCTGTGCCAAGATCCTGGCTCGGCTTGGCAGTGCCAGCATCTCCCCGCCCAGAAAGAGCCGAGTCAGGGCGAAGGGCAATGTCTACACCTTTCCAGCTCCAATAATCTGGATTCATTTGGGGTTTGATTGCCAAGACCTTTGCTCTGTCCATAAACTCTGAATTCCTCCAGGGTAGGTTGCCAATGTGTAGCCACACAAACACACACCCAAATCTTCACAATCTGGCATTTGCTTCTGCCTCCTCCCAGGTTTTACACACGTTTGGCTGCAGCCCCAAAATCCCCCCCCCCCCCAAAGAGCCGTTCTTCGTATATTTTAGTCTCCAGGCCTTGGATCATCTTAGTTGCTCTTCTCTGAATTTTTTCCAAACTCTCAACATCTTTTTTGTGATAGGGTGACCCAAATCGGCTGCAGTATTCCAGGTGTGGCCTCACTAGGGTTTTATAAAGCGGTAATAATACTTCGCGTGATCTTGATTTTCTGCCTCTGTTTATACAACCCAGGATTGTGTTAGCTTTTTTGACTCCTACGGCACACTGCTGGCTCATAGTCAAGGGATTGTCTACTAGGACTCCAAGGTCCTTCTCACAGTTACTGTTTTTTAGCCAGGTCTCACCCAATCTGTACTTGTACCTTTGATGTTTCCTGCCTAGATGTAAAACTTTGCTTTTCTCCACATTGAAACTCATTTTGTCAGATAGACTAGACTAGATTAGACTAGACTAGGAATAGAAGATAGAGAATAGAATAGAAATAGAATAGAAAATAGACTAGACTAGACTAGGAATAGAAAATAGAATAGAATAGGAATAGAAGATAGAGAATAGAAGATAGAGAATAGAATAGAATAGAAAATAGAATAGAAAATAAAATAGAAAATAGACTAGGAATAGGAATAGAAGATAGAGAATAGAATAGAATAGAATAGAATAGAAATAGAATAGACTAGACTAGACTAGGAATAGAAAATAGAATAGACAAGGAATAGGAATAGAAGATAGAGAATAGAATAGAATAGAAATAGAATAGACTAGACTAGGAATAGAAAATAGAATAGAAAATAGAATAGACAAGGAATAGAAATAGAAGATAGAGAATAGAAGATAGAGAACAGAATAGAAAATAGACTAGACTAGACTAGGAATAGGAATAGAACATAAGAGAATAGAATAGAAGATAGAAAATAGAATACATGATAGCAGTGTTCCAATATCTCAGGGGCTGCCCCAAAGAAGAGGGAGTCAAGCTATTCTCCAAAGCACCTGAAGGCAGGACAAGAAGCAACGGATGGAAACTAACCAAGGAGAGAAGCAACCTAGAACTAAGGAGAAACTTCCTGACAGTTAGAACAATTAATCGGTGGAACAACCTGCCTCCAGAAGCAGTAAATGCATCAACACTGGAAGTTTTTAAGAAGAAACTGGACAGCCATTTGTCCAAAATGGTATAGGGTTTCCTGCCTGAGCAGGGGGTTGGACTAGATGACCTCCAAGGTCCCTTCCAACTTTATCATTATTATTATTATTATTATAAATAATAGAATAGTTGCTCAAGATCTTTTTGGATCCCGAGTTTGTCTTCTGGGGTGTTGGCTACACCTGTCAGTTTGCTGCCATCTGCAGATTTGATGAGTTCCCCTTCAACTCCCTCATCTAAGTCACTGATGAAGATATTGAAGAGTTTACTTGGGGCTAAGACAGAGCCTTTGGGGGTACCCCACTGCTTACTCCTCTCCATGGGGATGTAGTATCACTGAGGACTACTCATTGAGTACTGTTTGTCAGCCAGCTACAGATCCAACTGGTGGTGATTGGCAGTCCAATTTCCTGGAAACGAAGCATGGATGAATTAAGTAGACTTTAAATATGGGCACGTGCCCTCTACTTAAATAATAATAATAATAATAATAATAATAATAATAATAATAATAATAATAATAATAATTATTATTATTATTATTATTATTTATTGAATTTATATACCGCCCTATCTCCCTTACGGGACTCAGGGCAGTGAACAGGCGATAATAAAAAACCACGATAAATATACACAAGTTTCTGTTCTAAAATCGAATTAAATAACAGGCCTGCTCTAAAAGTACCCCATACAAAACCCCCACTAAAACATAATCAAACTACGCCAGGCCGGCCGCACGGAATAGATGGGCCTTAAAAATCCAGATTTTTAAATTTGAAATAAAAAAAATAAAATAAACCGAAATATCTAGCTTGCAAGCTAAGCATTATGCATCGCCAAGCCGGATATTACGTAGCAACGTGGGGGGGGGGAGGAAAAGATCAAAGGAAATTGGGATACACGTTCTGCCGAAGCCCCGCCCCTTTTGCCGTCAAGCCCCGCCTCTTCCTCCCGCCCCATGACAGCCGGTCACGCGTGCGCTGGGAGCGCGGCTTTCGTCCCAGACCCGGAAGGACTCCGTTTCCCGGCATGCCTCGCGCTCCAGCCGCTCCAGCGCGGGGCTTTTTTTTTCCTCGCGCGGGGCCTGCTGGGAGGCGTAGTTTTCTCCCCCGCGCTCGGCGTTTTTTCGGCCCTGCCGGACTCATGGCCACCGCGGGCGGCCTCGCTTCCAGCTCCAGCCCGGCCGGAGAAGCGGAGCGGCCTCACCCGCGGCCCTTCCTGATCGGGGTGAGCGGGGGCACCGCCAGCGGCAAGGTATCGTTGCAATTCTGCCATTCTCCCATTTTTGCAAAATAATAAATAATAATAATAGTGATGATCATAATAAACCTTTGCAAAAATCGGGCCGTGCAAATGCATTGCCCCGGGCGGGCGGGAGGGGGAGGAATTGCAGCTTCTTCCGCTGCTTGCAAAAGTGCAAGCAAAAGGTGCTTTTTTGGGGGGGGGCTTTAAAGTGGGGCGAGGTAGAAGGGGGGGGGTTGCATGATGATGCTCGATGCATTCGCAATAATAGGGCAGAAAAGCAAAAAAGGTGACGAGCAAGATGCATCTCTTCCAATATCCCTGTGGGGCAGGGTGGGGTGTTGTCTTCCAACTTGGCCCTTTGATGACTGGTGGACTTCAACTCCCAGAATTCCCCAGCCAGGCAAGCCTGGCTGAGGAATTCTGGGAGTTGAAGTCCACCAGTCATCAAAGGGCCAAGTTGGAAGACCCCTGCGTAGGAAAAGCAGGAAGGGTGGTGGGGGGGAAGGAGAGAAGGTTTAAAATCCAGGATGGAAGCCCTGTTGCTTCAGGTCGGGCTGGGGTCTGGGGGGGTGTGTTGTTGTTTGTGCTGCAAGCTGTCAACGGCACTGACTGACGTCTTTTTCCCAAAACAGGCTTGGGTGGGCTTGACACGTGTGGATGTCAAGGGCAACAACAGCTGCCCGCTTGTATTATCCTATATATGATCTGTGATCTCTAGCATCACGGATAACATCCGTTTGTAATTATGTGTAGTACGAGGTGTGATTTCCGTTTAGTTCCTGTGAATAGGTGCGACATTTCTGGTTACTGACAAATGAATAAGGCTGGCTTCGTTTGGTCTTGGCTGCTAAGATTGATTGATTGATTGAATGTATATCAATAAAAGAGAATCTTTGTAGCTCAGGGTTGAAAGGAGGGGGGTCCTTGGTGCTCTCTGAGTTGGCTGGTTTTCTTCCAGACGTTTCATGACCCAACTAGGGAACATCATGAGTGCTAGAAGGGAGGGGGGGTTGAAGGGAGGAAGAGGAGGAGGAGGAGAGTGAGGTCCTCAGTTCTCTCTGAGCTGGGTGGTTTTCTTGCAGACGTTTCATGGCCCAACTAGGGAACATCATCAGTCCTTGTGAGTGTGGCTTGCTCCCTGTTTATATACAATAGCTCAGAGTGGGATTGTTTTCTTGCAGATGTTTCATGACCCAACTAGGGAAACATCATCAGTGCTAGTAGGGAGTGGGGGTTGTGGAGAGGAGGAGATGGGTCCTTAGTTACATCAGGTGTGGGTCATTGGGAGGTGAAGTGGAGTTTGAACCTGTACCTGTAACTTCTGGCTTTGCTAACTTTCCTCCTTGGTCGGTTTGCCCGTTCTGTCCGTCCCTTCCTCCAAAGTCAACAGTCTGTGAGAAGATCATGGAACTGCTGGGTCAAAATGAGGTGGATCATCGTCAACGCAAAGTTGTCATTCTCAGCCAAGATCGATTCTACAAGGTCCTCACCCCAGAACAGAAAGCCAAAGCCTTAAAGGGACAATATAACTTTGACCATCCAGGTATCTATTGGGCCACCTCGGTTGAGCTTGGAAGGGTGGGTGGGAGGAAGAACCCCAAACTAGGGTTCTGGAGGCCAGGGGTGACCTCCGACGCCAACACATTTTGAGTAGTTCCATCGATGAGACGGAAATATAACCTTATGGGTTCCTCGGTGCTCTCTGAGTTTGGTGGTCTTCTTGCAGATGTTTCATGACCCAACTAGATAACATCTTCAGGGCTAAAAGCGAGTGGGGTGTGTAGAGAAGGAGAAAGGGAAGAGAAGGAAGAGGAGAGGGAGGAGGGCTGTGGGTTCCTTGGTGCTCTCTGAGCTTGGTTGTCTTCTTGCAGACACTTCATGACCCAACTAGGTAACATCATCATCAACAACAACAAATAAGGCCTTTTTACTAATCACCAATGTCTTAATGACCTGATCCTGCGCACAACTTTATAACTATCTAACTTCTATCAATCTTCCTCTTTGTCCAGATGTTATGGTTATAGTCCATCTCTGTGACTGCAGGAACAACTCTGTGGAATTTATTTGGCGATGTTTTCAAATGTGATTGGCCTTTGACACCTTCATTCTAGGTTTGAAAGAGTGAGGGCTGGCCCAAAGTCCCCTGCCTGGCTTCATACATAAAGGAGAACTAAACTTGTGGTCGGGTTGACTTCTAATCCAGCCCCAGAATCACTAGACCAACTCAGATTCTGACAGATATTAATGGTGTTCCATTAAATTCATTTGCCTAGAAACTTCTGAATAACAGAATAACAAGAGTTGGAAGGGACCTTGGGGGGGTCTTCTAGCCGAACCCCCTGCTCAAGCAGGAGACCCTATGCCATTTCAGACAAATGGCTGTCCAATCTCTTCTTAAAAACCTCCAGTGATGGAGCACTCACAACTTCTGGAGGCAAGGAGTTCCACTGGTTGATTGCTCTCTCTATTAGGAAGTTTTTCCTTGGTTCTAGGTTGCTTCTCTCCTTGGTTAGTTTCCATCCGTTGCTTCTTGCCCTGCCTTCAGGCGCTTTGGAGAACAGGTTGACTCCCTCTTCTCTGTGGCAGCCCCTCAAATATTGGTAGACTATTATGTCCCCCATAATCCTTCTCTTTCTCTTAGACTAGACATACCCAATTCCTGCGACTGTTCTTCATATGTTTTAGCCCCCAGCCCCCTCATCATCTTCGTTGCTCTTCTCTGCACTCTTTGCAAAGTCTCAGCATCTTTTTTTATATCATGGCGACCAAAATTGGATGCAGTATTCCAAGTGTGGTCTTACCAAGGCCTTATAAAGCAATAATAACACTTCACGTGATCTTTATTCCATTCCTTCTAATCTGGAATATTCTGGAAGTCAACTGAGATCTCAGCTGCTTCCTTCTGGCAAGTTTCTCAATCCTCTTTTTTCCTGTAGATGCTTTTGACAATGATTTGATGGAAATGACGCTGAAGAACATCATTGACGGCCAAGCGGTGGAGGTCCCGACGTACGATTTTGTGACCCATTCCAGGTCAGTGTCCGTTCCCTGGATCTGGCAGGCAGGCAAGTGTGGTGACCACGTTGTTGTTTTTTCCCCCTTACATTTTTTTTGCTGTTTGGTTGTCTTTTCCCTTAATGGCCACACGATTTATTTAATGACCGTGGTTAAAAAAATGGTCATAAGAACAGATCTGGTCACGTAATTACTCTCTTAATGACCGCATCACTTAGCACTCAAATTTCCGATCTCCGTTGTGGTTATAAGTTCCTGTGTTATAAATAGATAAATCTGCCTAGCCTAATTTGTCAGAGGGCAGCTTTAAAACTCACCCAGTTCCTCAAAACTTTACAGATTGTCCTCAGCTTAAAAACTACTACAGAGGCCAAATTTTTTATCTACCTCTTGAGTCCTTTCCCAGGACCTGGGATAGGCAGATGTGGATGTTTGATGGTATTACAGATAACATCGCAGGATGGAAGCAGTTCCTAGTAAGGCCGCCTTTTGCAATTGACTAATGGTGAATTTGTCAATGCCGATGATGGTGTTCAAGTGGTGCTCCAGTTGTTTTAGGATTGCACCCAAGGTGCCTATTACTATTGGTACTACCCTTGCTTGCTTTTGCCACACTCTTTCTAGTTCTATTTGTAGGTCTTTGTATTTTGTTATCTTCTCCCGTTCTTTCTCGTCTGTTCTGCTGTCTCCAGGCACTGCCACGTCCACTAGCCAGACTTTTTTGTCTTTCTTATCGACAATTGTTAAGTCCGGGGTGTTATGTTGCAGGTGCTTGTCTGTTTGAATTCTGAAGTCCCAGAGCAGTTTAATTTTATCATTTTCTATGACTTTCTCTATTTTATGATCCCACCAGTTCTTGCTTACAGATTATTGTTATTGTTGTTATTATTACTTATTATTATTGTTATTATTATTATTATAGTAACCATTGCAACAATTCACTTAACAAATGTGGCAACAAAGGACATAACACGGGACCAAAACAAATGTCTCACTTAGAGCAGCAGACATTTTAGCCTCAAGTTGTGATCCTAAGGCGAGAACAACCTGTATTCCTGTGTGTGTGCAAACCAAGTTGCTGTTTGGACAGCTGGCTTTCCTAGTGTGTATTTATATTTTGCTGTGTGACTTGGATAGTTACTCTTGAACCATTTCATTGGCACAGATTGCCTGAAACCACAATGGTTTACCCTGCCGACGTGCTGCTGTTTGAAGGGATCTTAGTCTTCTACAACCAAAACATCCGGAAAATGTTTCATCTTCGGCTTTTTGTCGACACCGATTCAGACGTCAGATTGTCTCGGAGAGGTGAGACGTTGGTTCAGAATAGAGCTGGGAGGGACCTTGGAGGTCTTCTAGTCCAACCCCTTGCTTGTGCAGGAGACCCTGTACCATTCCAGACAAATGGCTGCCCAGTCTCTTCTTAAAAGCCTCCAGTGATGGAGCATCCATAACTTCTGGAGGCAGGTCGTTCTACTGATTGATTGTTCTCCCTGTTAGGAAATTCTTCGTTCTAGGTTGCTTCTCTCCTTTGCTTCTTCTCCTGCCTTCAGGCGCTTTGGAGAATCCCTTGACCCCCTCTTCTTTGGGGCAGCCCCTCAGATATTAGAAGAATGCTATCTGGTCAGTGTTCCAATATTTGAGGGGCTGCCCCAAAGAAGAGGGGGTCAAGGGATTCTCCAAAGCACCTGAAGGCAGGACAAGAAGCAACGGATGGAAAGTAATCAAGGAGAGAAGCAACCTAGAACTAAGGAGAAATTTCCTGATAATGAGAACAATCAGAGGAACTCCTTGCCTCCAGAAGTTGTGGGTGCTCCATCACTGGAGGTTTTTAAGAAGAGATTGGATAGCCATTTGTCTGACATGGCGTAGGGTCTCCTGCTTGAGCAGGGGGTTGGACTAGAAGACCTCCAAGGTCCCCTCCAACTCTGCTATTCTGTTATTCCAATCCTCCATTCTGTCTTCTCTTCGGTGCTTAGAAAATCTTAGAGACAGTCATGTTTTTAACTGGTTTTTCTTCTTTGGTTCCTTCCATGGCAGTTCTCCGCGATATGAAGCGAGGAAGGGATTTGGAACAGATTCTGACCCAATATACGAAGTTTGTCAAGCCTGCCTTTGAAGAGTTCTGTTTGCCGGTATGAAAACTCTCCCTTCTTCTTTACAAACCATCCCAGTTTTCCCAAATAAGTTGGTGGGGCGACGGGACTCAGTTTCGCTTAGCAACGATTCACTTAAGAATCAAGTTGCCCGTCCCAACAGCAAAGATAATCTTTATACATAGGTAGTTCTCGAATTCAAACCCGTTCCTTTAGCATCTCTTCAAACTAACTGACAGCCAGCCGGTCCTCGCTCTTATGACCATTGCAATACACCCACGGTCACGTGATCAAAATTTGGATGCTGGGAACCAGCGTGCATGTATAGTCACGTGATCGTCATTTTCCCATAAGCCGTGAGCCTGTAGGTGGCTTTGTGATTGATTTAATTTTTTTCCCAAAATAAAATAAAAAATGGTGACTTTTTTCAGCCCGGCTTCCCACGAGCAAAGTTCGGTGGGAGAAGCCGGGTTCGTTTAAGGACGACACGGCTCATTCACAACTGCAGTGGTTCGCTTAACAGTTTTGGCCAAAAAAAAGGGGGGGGGGTTGATAAAATGGGGCGACTTGCTTAACAATGGGAATTGCGGTCTCCGTTTGTGATCTATTGGTAGAAGTCGAAGCTTATTGAGTGCCTGTTGGAAGAAATCTTAGCCTGTTTTCTTTCTTCTGGCTAAGATGGCTTCTGAACAGATGCTGCTTGCTTAGGCTGGGTTGTTGTCGTTGTGTGTCTTTTGAGAATGGTGACTTCTCTTCCCTTCCCTTGCAGACCAAGAAATATGCGGATGTCATTATCCCTCGAGGCGTGGATAATATGGGTAAGAAACATGCCTGTTTGAAATTTATGGAGAAAGGGGAGGGGGAATTATCCAATCCAGGGGTCTTCAAACTTGGCCCTTTGATGATTTGTGGACTTCAACTCCCAGAATTCCTCAGCTGCTGGCTGAGGAATTCTGGGAGTTGAAGTCCACAAGTCATAAAAGGGCCAAGTTTGAAGACCCCTGCTTGTGGATTTCAACTCCCAGAATTCCTCAGCCAGGCACGCTGCTAGATGAGGAATTCTGGGAGTTGAAGTCCACCAGTCATCAAAGGGCCAAGTTTGAAGACCCCAGCTTGTGGACTTCAACTTCCAGAATTCCTCAGCCAATCACGCCTGGCTGAGGAATTCTGGGAGTTGAAGTCCACACGTCATCAAAGGGCCAAGTTTGAAGACCCCAGCTTGTGGACTTCAATTCCCAGAATTCCTCAGCCAGGCATGCTGCTGGCTGAGGAATTCTGGGAGTTGAAGTCCACCAGTCATCAAAGGGCCAAGTTTGAAGACCCCAGCTTGTGGACTTCAACTCCCAGAATTCCTCAGCCAATCACACCTGGCTGAGGAATTCTGGGAGTTGAAGTCCACCAGCCATCAAAGGGCCAAGTTTGAAGACCCCTGGTCCAGTCCAGCTGAGTGAGATTCACGTTTGGCAGGCAAATTTGGCTCTGGGGAGACCCAGCATCCCATATATAGCAACAATAAAGGATAGGCTATTATTAATAAACAGTGTTCTTTTTTTCTCAGGACAGAGAAGAGAGAGAATGTCTGTTATCTTTTATTGATTTGACTTCCACTCACCTTTCCTTCAGGAGCTCCTTAGTATTTCTCCCCATCCCGACGGCCCTTTGAGGTTGGCCCAGAGCTGGCTTTTCATGGCTCCTGACCGCTTTGTGGCCAATTTCAGACTATTTGGGTCTGAGATCCTCAGTTGAAAAGCCTCTTTTGTGGGGTGGGGTGGGGTGGGTGGGGGGAACCAAGAAGGAGGGTGCCGGCCTAAATTCTAAAAACCCTTTCTCTCTCCTTTGCAGTGGCCATCAACCTGATCGTCCAGCACATCCAGGACATTCTCAGCGGGGACCTCTGCAAGTGGAACCGGGGGGGTGCCATGAATGGACACGGCCGTTCGTCCAAGAGGCCGTTCCCGGAACAAGCGGACAGCCTCCCCCTCCTGGCACCTGGAAAACGGTCGCACCTGGAATCCAGCAGCCGCCCCCACTGACCGGTCGGGAAGCTTGGAACTCTCTTCCTGTCCAGCTGGACTTTGCAAATGTTCTTGAGGGGGGGGGTGTTGTTAGCTTTTCTTCCTCCAAGAGTCCCTGAGCAAGCCCTGGTTTGTCGTGAAATCCCAGAATAAACTATGTGGGTGAGTTTTCCCTTCCTCCTGCTTTTCCTTCTTCCCTAAATGCCTTGCTTTCTTCTTCTTTTTCTTCCTTCCTTCCTTAATTCTTGGCTTTCCTTTCTTCCTCCTTT